CATTTAAAAACATGTAATATTGAGGTTGTCGTAATTGAATTACATAATTCGTATGCACCATGTAGTTATTTTTGCTATACAGGGTTGGTAATGTGGGTTGGTTGGGAGTAGTTGGTACTAGGAATCGCGAACAACGACGCGAATATAAGATTCCTGTGCAATTTTACCAGGTCTCATGCTTTTGCATGAGATCTTAAGTTTTTTTAGTCAATCTCATGTTGTCATGTTTTAATTAAAAATCTTATGTATTTTCACAAATTAAAGCAAATTTGTGCTTTTTATAAGAAAATATTTTTTTAAACATTTTTATCATAATTAATGTGAATTTGTTATTTTCAGCAATTGTATGCTTATTAACAAATACATTTAAAATGTGCCGCCTCAACATTTATAAAATTTTGTCAGTTATTTTCAAATTTTTCAAATCATAAAAATATTGTTCAATATAAAATACAATACTAAATTAAATTATTTTACCACCTAACTAGTACTTATTTTCGTAAAGTAAGTAACTACCTAATTTAAGAATGTTCTCACCTAAAACAAGAAAAAACTTTACCTATTTAGGTACCTATTTTTATAAATTTGGCCACCCAGTGTTGCCAGATTACACTATTAATAGTGTAATTACACGATTTCGGTTCTTTCTACACGATTAAACGACTCAAGGACCAATTCTCACGATTTTTGGCGTTCTATAAAAAAATCGTCACTTTTAATAAAAATGTTAAACGTCAAAAGCATTTAAATTAATTAAATTGTTTATTGTACTACTCCTAAAAGAATATAAAGTGCTGACTACAAACAGAGATACAAAAGAGATTGGGAGAAAGGGTGGAAGTGGTCCCACAAAGTAAGGAAGGCCCAGTTTATGCATGTTATTGTAGTTTTTAACTGATTTTTGTGTTAATACTATTAACGTTTTATTTATAAAATAACATTTAATATTTTTACGATCTGACAAAAACAACCAACTTTCGCCCAATTACTTTACTACCAGTCATTGGAAAAAACTTGGAAAAAATCATTAAAATAAGGCTAGAAGAAGAACTAGATGACAAGATTCCACCCCATCAATTTGGCTTTAGAAAAAATTCTTCAACAATCCATCCACTGCTTATTCTAACTTCGAATGTTCAAACAAACAATCTAAAAGGCAACAAATCAGCAGCTCTCTTCATGGACATTAGTAAAGCATTCGATAGTGTGTGGCATGCCGGCTTATTATACAAATTATACAGCTTAAATTGTCCAAAATATCTAATTCACTTTATAAATAACTTCCTAAAAAATAGACTGAGTCTAGTTAAACACAATCAAAAATTATATAAATCATTTTCTATGCAACAAGGTGTCCCGCAAGGCTCTCCTTTATCCCCCATTCTATACAACCTATTCACATACGACATCTATTCTCAACAATTTAATCCTAACACATATATTCTAGAATTCGCAGATGATAAAGCTTTAATTGCACACCAGAAAAATTTAAAACTCACTTTGATTCACTTACAAAATCTCTGTAATAATATAATCCAGTTTTTTTCCAAGTGGAGAATAAAACCAAATCCCAATAAAACTCAACTAATAATATTCAATCACAAAATAAATATAAATTCCCCCTCTATAAAAATTTTTAATCAACAAATACGACCATCTAATTCATGCAAATACCTTGGAATACATTTAGATAGCAAACTCAATTTCAATTTACATGCCAAATTAATGAAAACCAAGATGATTACAAGAGCCAAACATTTCAGAAGCCTGACATACAAAAATAACGGTATACAACCTGAAACTGCGATTAAAATCTATAAAATGATATGCAGGCCCATTATTGAATATGCCTTCCTAATCTACCTAAATTGCAAAAAAACTACTGTAGGTAAGCTAGAAGTGGCTGAACGGAGTAGTTTGAGAATAATCACCAAAATGAGACACCCAGATAATCCACTTCATAATCCATCAAATCAACTGCTATACGAAACAACGCAGGTCACCCCCATTTTGGAACGTTTCAAGGAGCTGGCATGCCAATTTGCAAAAAAACACCACAACATACAAATGATGGAAAACTTAATGCACAGTAGAGACCATAACCTGCCCCCCAAAAGGAAATATCCTACACAAACTTTATGGGAGATAATCACGGACATCACTAACGAAGACTAAAATATTTGAGATTTATATGTTTTTATTATTTTTTTTTTTATATAAATTCAATATTGTAACTACAATTAACAATTATTATATTTATAAATTTTTTTTTGTAAAATTGGGCAGAAAGACCACGGTCGATAGCCTGTTGGGAAACCAATAAAGATGTTTATTATTATTATTTTTACGACTTTACACGATTTTCGGTAGCCGAATAACACGATTCTATCTGCACTTCATCTGGCAACACTGTGGCCACCTAAAATTCCATCTCTAGTTATAAGTAACGTTATTTCTGGTAATTTTAAAAAAAGTAAATTTCACATGAAAACACGTTTATCTTCAACTAGATTTTTGAGTTAACAACCTTATATTTTGTTTTTCTATGGCCTCCATATTGGAATTTTATATTGTAGATAGCAAAAAAATCAAGGAATCCTATGTAGTTATAGCGGCCATTATAAAAACAAAAAATGGTTAAGGTAAGAAAAGGAAGAAAATGTAGATTAATTTGTATTTTTGTTTACATGTAAAACTTCCTTTTTTCAAAATTTCTAGGAATAACAAAGTTATTACGATTTTTGGTTTTAAAAGGTTGTTAGTTTTTTTCTTCAAATATTTTGAGAACCGCTGGCTTTTTTTAATTTAAAAATTTCATTTGAATTGCATTTTAATGGGATTGTAATTACGCAAATTTTCTCTAATTTAACCGACCTTGTAGCTCCTTAAATAAAAAAATACACATAGAAGGATACTTGATGTACCCTGTATGTATATATATAAATATATATATATATATATATATATATATATATATATATATATATATATATATATATTATGACCTTAATTATTTAGGTTAGACTCATGGATTACACTTATTGTTTCTTAAGATTTTTTTTTCTTGCAAGTACCTACCACGATTATATTTACATTTTTTATAAAAGTGTTTATTTTACAAAGAAAACTTTCTATGTATGTGGACATTTTACAATATGTTAACGAAAGTTAATAGTCTTAATTACAGCTGTTTATTAATAGAAAAAAGTTGTATTAAGTATTTTTTAATTTAAAAGTAAGGGCCTTATAAAAAAAGTTTAAAATAAAAGCTACTTGAGATAGTTTTAACAATATCCCTTATAATATTACCCTACACAAACTCTTTAAAACTAAAAATAAAACCCATCATAAAACAAAGTTGCTTTTATTTGTCAATCATAAAACAATAATACCTTAATTGAGGAGCATCCGTGCAAAACCGGCTATATCCACTTTAACAAAATGTTTGGAAAATGGCAAAAACTCTCGGTTTCCTGGCCTTTACAGATAAAAGAAAAAGCAAACATGAGTTTTGTGGGCTTTGTGGTACTTGATTTATAAGACATACTTTCGTTTTCAAAAACTTTATATTAAGGCCAAAATTTCAAGAAATGTTTTGGATATAGCCGGTTTTGCTCGAAAACCGAATAAAAAACGAAAAAAATCTGAAAAAAACCTTTATTATTCAAAAATATTAACAAAATAAATTTAGTGCAAACATGAAAAAACAGAACAAATTTTAGTAGTAGTATCGACATATCCACGCCACCTATTATTATTTATTGGATATAGCCGGGTTTGCTTTAAAATCGTGGATGTGGCCGGTTTTGCTCCTAAAGCTACCTTTTAAATGTGATTTTAACATGGATATAGTCGGATTTAAACAGAATTATCTTGGTTGTCGATAGAAATGAACCCAAAGATGCGAAAACAAAAAAAAACAAAAACTGAATAAAATGGATTTAGCCGGTTTTGCACGGATGCTCCTCAATTAAGGTTTGACTAATTTCCAAATAGTCATTTTTAAAACTAAATACCCTTAAAAGTCAAATGGTTTTATTGTGAAGCCTTATATATAGCTATAAAACCTTTTTTTACACCATCACCAAAGTATAATTGGTATTTATGAAATTTTTTTTAAAACTATTTGCATTATTTCCGCCACAATAATACCTTTTTAAAACCAATTCAACTCAATTTTGCATTTAAAATGTTACTTTGTTATATTGGTTAATAAAAGTATATTATGTATCAAGTTTGGTAAACGCCAAAGTTACGAATTTTAATTAGGCACGAGCGAGCTTGCCAGCGAGTGTTTAATTAAATGAGTATCTAGAAAAGTTTATAAACGAGTTGCATACTTAAATTTTTCCACGACAAATTCTTAAAATTATCTAAAATTTTTAACTTAGGAATCTGTATAACCGGCGGCCCAGTAAAAACGTCATATTTGTATGTGTAAATAGAAATTTATCCCTAGAAAATGAACTAACAACCGTTTAAATGATGATATAGAATCAGTTTTTCACAGTGAAAGTGAAGTGAATGTTTTATGGGCACTTTACGGTGGAGTCTCCACCCGACATTTTTAATGCTTTCAGTTAAATATAGTTTTCTGCCGGCAAAATCAAAAGGTCAGTACAAACTTGCATATAAACTTTTCTAATAGGTATTGCGTTAAAAAACTATTTAATACTTTTTTATTAACATAATAAAATAAATAATACAATAATTTTCACATTTAGTATTATTGCACAAGAAGGGCACTTTATTATAAGGATTGTATGACATTTGACAACTGTCAACTAACTTAAAACTAACTTCGTCCCGTGACTAAAATGCAATAAAGCAACAACTTGTCAATGTGTATTTAAAACATCAAACTAGTGTCATGGAGACATGTACGACACCTTGATGTTTTAAACGTGGGAGTAAAAAAATATTTTATTGAAAAAAGAAATTTGATAAGTATTTATTTTAATTATTCTAAAAAATATATAACAAAGGTACATATTATCTATCTGTCTATTCTATAATTATTATAAAAATTACATTAAATATTAATTTTCTAATGATAATGACTTAATTTCTTCTTTTCAGTTGCATAACAATTCCATTTCTCGATTTTAATACAGAGCACATTCCAATTTCTGGCTTGAAATTTGGCAAAGGCAATACTTCAAACTTCCTTAAAACTTTCGCAATTATAGTTTTTAATTCCAGAACGGCAAATTTTTGACCTAAAAAGACAAATTTGTTTTAAAATTTTTAAATGGCAAATTTCAAGTTGATACTTTTATTTAATGCCGATTTTAACTTTTATGTCTCAATAAAATTCGTGAAATGTATGGAAATTTAACATTGTATATCCTGCTACAAAATTTCAATACAAACTTTATAATTAATATTCCTCGAAACTAATACAACAATTTTAGATTTATTTAAATATGTATAAATGTAAAATTATAATTATAAAATTTTAATATTATTATAAAGGTAGGTACCTACTATTTATTACTTAAAAACACAAATAAAACTTATTAAAATCTAATCTTAACTTTTTTAATATTGCATCAATTCTTTTATTGTAATTATAATTGTAATTTAGATGCCTCTAATATTTTACTTTCACATTTTTTTTTGTTTTTATTATTTGTTAGTTTATACTAATTTTAATTAAAGCCATATTTTTTATTATGTTGCTATAACAACTATGTTTTTAAAGTTTTACGTGATTTATTTAATTTTGACAATTGTTACGTCACACTATGACTTCTTCGAAATATTAAATAAATCACGTCAAACTTAAAAAACATGGTTGTTTTTATATTTACATAATAATACAATGGAGTTTTATCAAGTAAAGGTAGAAACAATCCAATTCATATTTTTAATTATTAAATTATTAAAATGTTTTATTATAGCCCATAGGTTTTTGCTAATAAATATAAATAATACGTACTTTTATAATAGAAATAATAATATATATTTATAATTTATATATACAAATAAAATAAATAAAATAATAATAAAAAAACATGACTGAGTTGGTATGTTTTTAATATTATTTATCTAAACTGCATGAACATTCCTTCGCTCCGCCAACTTATAACACAGTACAACACGATTTTCTTTCCATGAAAAATTTTAACAGATTTTAAAAATAAAGGTTAAAAAAATTACCCGTGTCTCATCGTTTCACAAAATCACGTCATTTAAATTTTTAATTTTTTTTTCTTCAAATATTTTATGATTTTACATAATACAAAAAATATAGTAACAACCACAATCCACACAACAAGGTCTGTTCTATCTCGTAGTAAAAATACTAAAAATCACTGCAACACTGCACATCATTCAATCGCGGCCATTTTTGTTGTTTACAATTCTTGTGCTTTGGGTTTGTACAGATTAATAATCGTTTTAAACGTTGTGTTTCTTACAGAGAGGCTTGCAAGCCTTAAAAGATACCTCATAGTGGTAAGAACAATCACATTTTGTAAAAAATAAACCTTATTCTATCAGGGCTGTCAAACGTCAATTTGAAGGTTAATTTAAGATTATTTTATAACCCACAAATTAACCTTCAAATTGACATTTGACAGCCCTGATAGAATAAGGTTTATTTTTTACAACACTTAAAAACTAACTTTTTTTCGCAAACTTCAATTTAAATTCTGCTTGCGCAGAACTTGTCTATATAGTATCATTATAAACTCATATAAATTTTATGTGGGTCCCATGTTTAATAACTGAGATATGGGTGTGCACAAAATCCACCAGCCGCCACTGCTCAATAGCAACAAAAGCTATGCAGCGGTGCAGGGTGATCTATAACGATTCAGGAGTAGATAAAATACGTAAAATAATAATAAAAAGTCTTATAATTGTATGACAAAAAATGCCAGGCTAAGCGAGATATTAGGTGTTTAAAATGCTTTAAAAAAATGTTAATTTTTATAATATCTAAAACGCTAATGGAGCTATTCATTTAATTTATGGACATAATAATTTATTGAAGTTCTTGGCTAATTTATAGATTTTGAGTTTTGTACTCTTACCAGTAGGGATACAACATTTATTACCAAAACTTTGTTACGGTACGGGTTTACACACATATGGTGCACAATATCTGAATATTTATTCTATACTATACTATACTATTTACAATATTTTTTTTTTTCGTACGAACATGGTTTCGAAGAACAAAGTGAATATCGTGTGTTCTTAAAAACAAAAATATATATTATTATTATAAATCAAAACTTGACATAATAATCTACAATCCCCACGTCACTGTTAAAAGTACAAAACTAAAATTTAAAATTAGTTAAGAACTTCAATAAATTATTAGGTCAAAAAAATCAAATCTGGAAAAATAACATATTTTAAAACAAATGTAAAATCAACATATTATATCTCGCTTAGAATATTAGTTAATTAGGACTTTTTGCATTATTTTTACTTATTCTATTTATTTATTCATAAAGTTTGGTCCACTCGTTATAGATCATAGTTTGCAGCACAATTCCTAGTCTCCCAAAGCCAATATTCGCCTTAAAATTGGTGGAAACCTTATGTCTATGATATGAACATGATTAGCTGCGGTGGCCACTTAAATTATATTTTCTTTAAATCAAAAAATTTTTAAAATATCTTTATAAATTTTCATTATATAATTCTTATAAATAAAAAATAATTAGCCAGACATTTTTGGACTGTGGTTGTTTTTGTAAGAGGCGCCTCAATTGTAACCTTAATGTTAGGCTAACATTGTTAGGACATTCTTATTACTAAGCTATGTAAATTGGGCGCTAAGAACAAGTGATTTGTAAAGTCCCCGAGCCAACATTCGACTGAAAATTGGTAGAAACCTTATGTCTATCGTAGGAACTAATCTTCCTGTACGGTGGCCACTTAAATGATATTTTTTTGAAAACATAAATTTCATCAAATATTTTTATAAGTTTTTATAATATGAGTGTTTTAAATAAAAATGGGAGCGCCTTAATTGTAACCTTAAAGTTCTGACAAATACTTATAAGGTTTACTTTCCCTTATAAGTGGTGATGGCGCCTATATATACAAGAGATTCTTGCCTCTCTCATTAAAAAAAAAACAAAATTGCGGATTCAAAATTACGGACATGCGCAGTAGGTACAAGATGGTTGGATCTATGTGGAGTAGTTACATTATATACAGCGCTGCCAATGTGTGGGGAATTCCCCAAAATGCGGGGAATTTAGCATTGTTGCGGGTAATGTGCGGGGAATTTAATAGTGTGGGGAATTTCGGGGAATTGATAGTTTCACTAAATTTTGCTTCAAAATTTGAAGCAAAATTTAGTGAAAAGTATCAATTTAATTTAATTTAAACTATCATTTAATGTTACAGAGCTTCTGTTTTTCTAATTCTGAACTTATGTTATTTAATAAGCGAAGCTGCATTATAGTTGTCAAAAGCGTAGTTTCCTAAATTACCAATTATCTTTGAAATGTGTGATACGCAAAAATTAATCTTCGGTTCGATAAGCTAATAAATCAAATTGGTTTTATTCTTAAGCCTATGGTTTTATTTTATACCACGTGTTTGTGTGTACTTTGATTATTTAAATTTTCAAGGTTCTGTTCCAAATAACTACATGATGGATAAATGGCTAACTAAAGTTCCTCCTAATGGCGAGGTAAAAGTAAAATTTTCAGTTTCAGTTATTTGTTTTTCAGCATATAAAAATTTTATGTGTGTTTTTTAAGTCGTTTTTTCGCGTAAATACTATGCAATACTACGGTTAAATAAGTCATGACGTCACAGTTAATTCATATAACCATGGTTAGGTTTCTAACATTTGACGTTTGTTTACTTGTTCATAACCTATAATTTTTGAAATGTGTTTTTACCTATTTATATTTAATTTCCATGCTTTTACCGGTGTAAATAAATTTCTTTGCCTCTTCTTATACCTTAAGAACTATGATCCCTAGTTCTTATACCTACCTTTTCTATACCTCTTTTTATATATAAACAGTTCTTCCCTGTTGTTTACCATAACTAAAATCCATGTAGTGTTTAACGTTTATACGAAAATTATTATTGTGAAACTCAAAATTTAGAATGGAAACCCAAAGAAAAAGACGAAGGTGGCGGTATGTTTTGGAGAAGATATGTTTAGCACACAACATAATTCCTACATAAACATATTAAATTGCCAAAATACGAATTCAACCTACAGAAATTATAAAGATTTTAATACTTTGGTTTAAGAGCAATTGTACCTACTTAAAATATTTTAAATTACTTTTTGCCTTAACTATTAACCAAGGTTAAGTTTAATAACCATAGTATTTCATGGTATTTACGCGAAAAAACGACTTTAGTATGTGTGGGGAATTTTGGGAAGCTGTGGGGAATTTTACCACATGATGTGGGGAAAAACCGTTTTAATAGTTGGCAGCGCTGATCATATAGGCGCAGTAGTTTTCAGATGGATGGATCAAATGATTTGATATATGCTAGACGTAACGACTCCACATAGATCCAACCATTTGATTCAAATGCGCGACATTTTCGGCGTAAAAGTCTTAGTTTATCATTGTGGTCTTGGCACACATTTTTTTTATTTTCAGTTTAAATTTCTATAGAAAAAAATATAAACGAATTCGTATTTCATTTCAAATAATTTTTGTATTCATACATAGGTACTTTTACCACGAAAGAAACGAGACGAGACGAGAGAAAGGCACTCTCGAGCGAGAAAAGAGTACCCATTTTCTGTCGCTGCACGAGACGAGACGAGAGAAAGACTTTTCTCGTCTCGTCTCGTCTCGCGGCATCACTACTTATAAGGTTTTATCCCGCTCCATTAGCCGTATAAGGTCTTTTGTTTGTTTTTTTTTTAAGAAATTTATTATTATTACATACATACTACATATTATAAAATTAATACATTTAGAATATACAACAATTTTTTGTTTCTGTATTCGCCCCTGTATAAGGTTTGTAATTCTTTCTAAGGTGGCCTTATAAGAATCCTTATCAGTGGCGTAACGGAAACTGAGTGCCCCCCCCGCAAACGTTTTCAGGGGCCCCCTTTCTACAACGAGAGTTTTGAATGGTCGGGGTTTGCGGGGGTGTTTTTTACGCCACTGATCCTTATATGTCAAAATCAATATAAATATATCAATCTTTTTTACACATTGTGTTGAAAATACGTATAATAACAAACTGTAATACGTATTAAAACAACCATAGCAAGTGAAGCGACAGCCTAAAATATTTAGAAGCGACAGTGACATAAATTCTTTTTATGTTTGGATGCAATATTACGACAAATTTTTCACAGTAATATTGTAGGACTCAATTTTAAACTATTGTTTTTCGTTTATTCTTATAAGTTTTTTTATTAGGTTTTTTACGTCGACTTAGTCGACTAAGGTTGTTTTATTTGCTTTTACAGTTAGGACATTCCTATTGGTAAGCCCTTTATAAATTATAAGAAAAAGTAGATTTAATGTCAGGATTTTTTTTTCCAGATTAATAATGTTACTTTTAATAGACAAATTGTTTCTTGTTAACTTACCGATACAATTTCTTGGGCCAGCACTAAATGGAATGTAAGCAAAATTATGTCTAGTCGACTGATTTTCTGGCAAAAATCGTTCTGGGTCAAATAAATCTGGATTTGGAAAAATGTTGGGGTTACGATTCATCCCATATAAAAATATATTTACTGTTGTATCTTTTGGTATCTTTATTCCATCTATAATTGTAAATATTATTATTATTGTAATATTTAACCTGTTCTTAAATACTAATAAAAAAATAGTAATAATTTAGACAAATAACCCTGTAGGGAAGTGAAAATATCACAGCTAAACGCTCGGACACGTAAACTTAATTTTTGGTCGTAGATTACAAATCCGTGCTTGGTTTAGCTGTATCAGGTCCAAATTCAAAGATATTGGAAACACCCTGTATAAAATTAAAAAAAAAATTAATTTGGCTGGATCCACACATCAGTTCCAAATTTAAAAAAACAACAAATTCTTGCAAAATTAAGTTAATTGATCAAAAGGAACACGTGTCCATGAGGGTTTTTCTTAGATAATTTAGTAAATTCAAAATGTTTTTTGCTGAATTTTTTTTATTGAGCATAATTAAGGATATATATTAGGATTATATTAAACAAAATAAAAAGCAAATCTTGGCACAAAAGGTGAAATATAATATTTTAAAAATTATAATATACCAGTATACAGTGTGTCCCCGGATCGGATTGCCAATAGGAAAAACTTTTTTAGACCTGATACAGCTAAACCGAGCACGGATTTGGAATCTACGACCAAAAATTATGTTTACGTGTCCGAGCGTTTAGCTATGATATTTAAAAAGTTGAAAAAATACCTACAGTGTAATAACTAACTTTTTTTGTGCTCATTAATTTAAAGTCTAAAATTGACGTCATTGCACTAAAAGAATTACCCCGCTCATCAATCTTTTTACATTTATAGGTCAATACAAACCTTAAAAAACAAATGAGTGAATTTAATTACATTAATTATATTACCTAATACACAATCATTATCTAAACTTCTTCCAATTAAAGGTACTGGAGAGTAAACTCGCATAGCTTCTTTGATCACTAAATCCAAATACTTTAAATCATTTAACTGTGAAACTGTCACGCCTTCGTTACTGTCAGGTCCTAATATTTCAACAAGTTCCTCATAAACTTTGTTTTGATATTTTATATTTTCAGCCAGTGCCAAAAATGTAAAGCCTATCGCCGTACTGGCTGTATCATGACCCTAAAAAACCATTTGTCTTGCGCCACAAGATATAATAAATTAAATTATTTATACCTCAAACATAAAAGTATCAACTTCGGCTCTGATGTCTTCATCTGAAAGGTCCATGCCATTATCCGACGCATCAAGTAACATATCCAAAAGTGCAGCTTTTATTTTAATACCATCTTCCGAGCTATTGGGATTTATTTTGCTCTTTTCTCTAGCCGTTCTGCGATTTTTTATTACATTCTTTGTAAAGTCGTGCAATGTCTTAAGATTCTCTTTGTATTCGGGATACAATTTTGAAAATCTAAACAGGAAAGGATTTCCCATCCAGCCAGAAAAAAATCTTAGTGTAAATATTTCCAAGAATTTTGATATTGCCGCAACGTATTTTGGATTACCTTTCTGCTGAGCATTTATGCTGGTTCCGAATGCAGTTTCTAAAATATTTAGTATTATAACAAGGGTTCATTTTTTACCAAACTATTTATGCATAGTCTGGGATTTTTGTAAAATTTTGTTTGATAATTATTATTATAATGAATAAATAAATGAAATTTTATATTTAAAAAATTACATTTAGGATAAAAGTTTTAACTAAGAATGTAAATTATAGGGTAATTCATGTAAAATCAACCAAGTTTGATTTGGATAAAAGTTTTATTTGTTATGCTATCCCAAAAAATGTCTTTTTTTTTTACTTTACCGGAAAAAGATTTGAACTTTAATAAAATAATAATTGTTCATTTAAAATTTAACAATTTAAAAGAACATCGGTCAGGTTTAATATTTTATTAGATATTTATATAATATAATATTTATAAATATTTCAAAAAGGTTTACATTTAAACTAACCCTAGTAAACAATATATCTGGGCAAGTGCGTCGCCATGGCAGACTATGGGCCAAGGGGGCAAGATGGTAGATAGAGGATATGAATTGAGGGGCCAACATCGGTCGGTGGAAGTAAAAGGGTTTAAGTGCATTTTTGTTAGTTCTGAGATAAATGGCTTTAAAGTTAACTTGAATTTTAAAATTCTAGGAAAGAGTTTAAAAAACTGTGTGAATATATTAGTGTTGTTTAAAGACTGAAAAGGATTATAAAAAAAAGGATTTTTTCAATTTCGCTTTTTTGTTATTTTTTTACAAAAATGTACTTGAATCGTAATGCATGTAAGACAAAATTTAGTGGTAAAATGATTTAAATGCAATTACTGTACTAGAACAAATCTTATTTTTTTAAAATTTGGTTCCCTAAGTTTTACAACAAAAAGTATTATTCATAATCAGAATAATACAACGTTTTCTTCATCTGAATTAGCTGGTCTTGGTTGGGGTTGATCTAAATTGGATTTATTTTGGCTCAATGCTATGGTCTAAGTTTGTTTCTTTTTTTCCTTTTTTTTTCTGATGGATCTCCATCGTGCTCTATGTTTTTTTTTAAATAAGTGGTAAATTGGCGGAATATAGTCCAATAAGGTAGGTAAATTTTTGTGCTTAGCGGCTTTGTTTTCTTTTTTTAGTTTTTGCTGGAGTTACATGGCCTTCTTCATTGATGTCAGGAACATAGTTACTATGTTGAATCCTTATCAGTCTGGACCGATGCCATAATCGTAACGCTGGCCGATGTCGTTCCGACCCCGGTCACAATATGTCGAAACGAGCTACTTGTCAAGGCTTTAGCAGCATAGATAATAGCCTATGTTTAGCAGTAAAAGGTGCACTTAAATCGTTTTACCAAAGATATATTTTAAAATATTTTGACAGGTTTTTAAAGACGATAAGAAATGGTGCCAGGGAATGTAAAATGTACTTATATAATTTTACCACTACACAGAAAAAAATCTAACATAGTACCAAGAACAGCGCTGTCATTGAATGCATTCAAATTGAAGCAATCTAAATTGTTATTTGCTCAATTAATTACTATTAAACTAAAATAGGGAAATATTTTGCCTAAATGTCAAAGAATTTATTGCGTTAAATGTATACATAGTATACATACAATAGTAACGTTATTAAATAAATCAAATTAGTATTTAATGCAATAACATTATACCATTCTAACAAATAAATATCAATATGAATATCAATAGATTTAGGAGCGATAACTTTTGTTGTTAATTTAAAAACAGTAAACGATTATAAACCAAGTGCTAACTACCTATTGGTATTATAGGAACTGTTATTCAGGAATACGGATTACAAGATCCCATTGGTTTAATGGCTCACCCATTCATGCTATGCTAGTGTTTTTTCTGTGTAAGTTAGAATATTCTTTAGGTGTGATATTCTGCACTTAGACCATTTATTTAAAAAAGTGCACTTGAACCGTTTTACTTCCAAGCCCCTCAATTGTAGGTTAAATAAATACAATTTGTATACACTATAGTGTCCAACCGAAACTTCTGGTTCGGCCAAACATTCGGCTTCGGCTAAAATTGAGCCAACAGACTGCCTGTAAATTCCCAAATTTCCTAGAAGTAAATCACTTTAAAACCAGCGAGACCAACGTTTAACGTTATAACACAACGTCCACATAATATGTGGACTTTAAAAACTTGCATTGTGCATTATTTAAGAGTAAAAAATAGTTAATTTTCGATTTATTTATACAATTAGAATAGAACTATATGTATTTAAGGTAAACAAGAATTTCTTATAAAGTTAAGGTAAACAAGAATTTCTTCTTAAGTTATAATGTATGTTTAAATTTTAAATTTTAAAAGAGGTAGCATTAATGCAAATAAAAATAGGTTATATATAATCCTTTTGAAAATTTGTGTTAGGGTATTTACGTTTTTATTGAAATAAGTATTAACAAATGATGGTGAAATGACAATTATTTTTAACGAGGCTAGTAGTGAGTAGCCACTTTTATTGATAATGCATTAGCTATCACCTCTCTAGCTTGACCTGACAAAACTTTACACTTTAATTTTAATTTAAAATCCATGGATTTTAAATTAAAATTAAAGTGTAAAGTTTTGTCAGGTCAAGCTAGAGAGGTGATAGCTAATGTCATTTTCTTTATGCAGCGAAAACCTGAACAAAACTGCCCTATCCGTGATTTTAATTTTTTTATACTTGATTTACTTTCATTTTAATCCACTGTGGTTATCCTAAGGCAAAATTAATGCAAATGACGATTTTAAGAGCTGGCATCTGCGCATCGATGGGCATGTACATTCGTACGTCTCTAGCTAGATTGTCCAAGCTGTAAGTAGGCTTCGACTAAACCTTCGCCTTAATCTTAGCCAAATTTGTAATTTGTAATAAATTTATTTAATAAAACCATACACCTTCGGCCTTGGTCGGATACTAACAATTTGTATAAGTATAACCTATAGCGCTGGCGCGCCAGGCGGTCGATAGATGTTCCTTCAAATGTATGGATCGACTCGCAATTGAGTCGTATAGATTCAAAACCCGCCAAATCCATTTATTGAAAGTAAAGGACAGAAGACATGTTTCCATAACAACATAATTAATATGTATTGCAAACATATCTACTGTCCTTTACTTTCAATAAATGGATTTGGCGGGTTTTGAATCTATACGACTCAATTGATATCTAAACTTTTTTCGAATCCCGGTGGCTCGAAAACTGATAACAGTAGAAAGTCTAATATTTTACCACGGACCTACAAACAACTTTGTTTGTTGGTCTATGTATTTTACCCTTTTTGTCCAGACCAAGTTCTTCCAAATTTTTATTTTTTTCACCAATTTTGTCCGTTTAACGGAAATAGAATTTTCGGAAAAAGTTGCTTCTGGACGGTTATTAAATTTTTTTCTTTAAAAATGGGATGGGTCCTTTTAGAAACTTAAAAAAAAATGTAACCCACCACATATTATGTCCAGTGAACACATATTTATAAAATGATGCACTTCAATGGATTCTTGATTCGTGTCAACTTCTTTTTCCAAGTTTTGCAATAAAATATTACTCTGGTAATTGAATACGTTCATAAACTTTTCTAATACTTGAAAATGAAATGTTGGGGTAATCATTTTACGCCGGTTCTTCCATGTTTGTCCTTAAATAAGATTTTTTAATAAATTATTGAATAAAAAATCGATTTAAGTACCTGTGGATAATAATAGACTGTTACCCAACCATGGTTTAAAGAGTTCGTAACCATCAGATTTTCCGATATGAGCAGCAGATCCAGTAAAAAATTCCACATATTCTGGTTTTGAAACCATTAGGTTTAATTTAGGCCCTAACCATATTTTATACAATCCACCGTATTTGTTTTGTAAATCCATAAACGAATTAAGAAGACCTAAAAATATGTTGAAAATGAGTAATTTATATATTTAGGGCTTCGCAGATATTGCAATAAAATATTTGCAGTTGCGCTAAGCTATTTTGAAATTTTTACGATCTAATTAACTTAATAATTAAGCAATGCTTATAATGATATAATGAAAATTTGGATCGAATGTACAGACTGCTCAGAAATTAAGAAAACATGAAAATGCTTGAAGGGAGAAGTACGTACCTTTATTTAGTTTATGAGAGATAGTCGTTACGCAATCCGCATGGTAAATAAATGCGTTGTTTTCAATTTACTTCAAAATTAATGATACTTCATCGTGATAATCATATAATTTTTATTATTCCATATCTTATTAAAAGTAAATAAATATTTTTTTAAGCCTCGCACTTATAATAAAAATTTCACATTTAAAATACTTATTTACCTACGGAAAAGACCCTTTCCGAGCGTTAGGTACAATATTTTTTTCTACAAGCAAGAGAATCTCGCAATTTTCTTCATTAGTTTCCATTTGTAAAATATTACATTATTTTATAAGATGCTAAAGTGTCACTTTTTGTGGCGAGTAGGGTTTGACCGTGAAACTTTGACTGACGACACTGCAAGTCCGGCAAATACGGACGAGCCACAAAAAGCACTTTACTCTGCATAAAATATTCATTTTTTAAACGTCTAATACTTTGAATAATAAAAAACAATGATTAAATGATTTTCAAAAATAATTTAATTAAAATTTGACAATAATAATTATTACCTATTTTACTGTTTACTGACAATTATTGACAGTAAACAGTAAAATAGGTAGGTAGGTAGGTGTAGAATGTTACCATGGTATTACCTTTAAGCAGCAGAATAGTATATTCTGTAACAAGTATGAAGAAGAAGAAGAAGAAGAAGAAGAAGAAGAGAGAGAGAGGGGGAGACCCCTAAAGTAAGAATTGCCACGATGCTGTCATCCGCGTAAAGGAACAAGAGTGACAACCAGTGTTGCCAACTCGTGGGAAATTTCCAGATTCGTGGGAAATTTTAAGTGCCAACGGGAAAAGGGAAATTTTAACATAAAATCCTGTATTCGTGGGAATTTGTAAAGTCCAATCAATTTTCAACTAAAACAACTATTAAAGAAAAGTCCAATCAACATTCATGAAAAAAAAATTACCGAAAAAATGTTTACTATAGTAGTATTATACCTATAATAGATACTACTTTTTTTTTTTAAAATAACCTATCAAGTTTGTGGACAGCCAAAGTCAACAAACCAGCGGCCTAATAGTGACGTCACTGATGATGAGGATACATCCTGGCCATACGCTCTATGTAAATCGTCACAAACTTACGTACATAGCTTTCCTGCTCTATGCGCGCTTCAAGTTTTTCTTACAATCAGCGTTGCCGGAAGGCCAATGCTAAATTCCTGGCTTAACTAAAATCTATTACTGGAAATTACTGGCAAAAAATTTACGTTGTATTCCTGGCAGAATACTTTTGGTTTGCATACAATGCAGTTAATTTTTAATTTTCTTTTTTTAGCAGGGTATTTATATATACTCCGCATCACACTTGAATGATCTAAGTTGAATCACAGTTTTACAGAAATTCACGCCATAAAAATTTTCGTTCCAACTTTCAAGTTTTTACTGGTAAATTCCTGGTTCACATTCAATTACTGGCAAAACGGCAACCCTTCTTACAATTTGAAATATACTCGGGGATTTACCGAATTATCCTTGCGATTTGTAGCAATAAGTGGGCCTGTGTTTCTGTGTGGTATTTTTGTAAAAGCTATTATTTTATAAGCTGTATAAAACAAAAAATGTTAGATTAAACTAGTTTTTATTTACAAACGCAATTCGTAATGTCTAGTTCAAATGAATGATTTTTTAAATTTAAATTTCTCCATTTCTCAAAATATTGTATTTTTCTTCTTAAAAACAAAAAATACCCATGCCAAAATAAACTTTATCATTTTTAAAATTCGTGGGAAAATTTTCGTAAAAAAGGGAAATTTTTACCCTCTTTGTGGGAAATTTGATTCTCAAAGGTTGGCAACACTGGTGACAACAACATAACAAATCTTACAACCCCAAGCCCATGTCATACCTCTCTCTCATCTTCCCAATCCACAAACTTTATTGATATAATTTACATTAAAAGTATATATAACCTTTATATCGTGGGTTGAGTATTATAATGTTCTAACAGCACTTTTGGCGCGAATTCGGCTTTTTTAATAGAAAAATAGTACATAAAATTTCTGTTTTATGTATATAAAAATGCCTGTTTAATTTAATACACAAACTAAAAAAAAAGCATTATTAAATTGTTCTATCGCACTTATTTAAAAACGGTTTAAAATTATAATATCCTAACAGACCAACCAATGAGAGAAGAGAATTTTGATCTGTTAGAACAATATAATTTTTGCTGTTTCAGTTTTGTATGCAAGTATTAATCACGTGGTTGTGCGGTGCAATTAAAAAAAAAGAATACCTATGTATGTTCTTATTTAAGGGATACTTCTTAGAACCCTAAAGTTTTGGAATTCTTTAGAACTAAAAACTTTTAGTTTTAAAGAATTTTGTATGCTGTTAGAACAAAATCTGATGTTTTGTGTAAAATTTTCGTTTTCAATAAAAAAAAATGTTCTATCAAAAATTGTTTATTTTGTAAAACCCAGTATTGGAAGAAATAAGTTCAAATAGGAACAATACATTTTTTAATTCTTAAGGATATGAGTCCAAAACCAGTACTTAAAATTATAAAAAATTTTACAAACGGTATTAGAATGAGCCTGGAATATTTAATCGCCATTCCCCAACAATTTCATTTTGGATTTATAGAACAATATAATACTCAACCCACGATATGACGAATATACTCCAAAATAATTGGAAAATAATATTATTATTAAATTTGAAAATGGATCGGTGATGATTTAAGAAGAATATCTATGAGCTGAGATAATAATAATAATAGTAATAATAAAAAAAATAATAAGGGCCCCTATCAAGCTTACACCAATGGTGTCCAAGGTACCAATAACCCTTGGATTGGTAAAAATATTTTTTAATGTAGATACAATGTTGTATTTATAGATAGAAAAATATATTTAAAAAAAATAAATTGTTAATTAATTGTTAACAAGTATGAAATACGGCATATTTCGCTCAAGTGAAAATTTTGTCACACGGGCCGAAGGCGAGTTTGACGGTTTCACGAGAGCGGAATATGCAATTCCAAATGTGTTTCAGACTTTTCTACGTTTCAAAAAAATACCATAAAAAACTTTTTCTACTCCTATAACGGAATATTACCGTTCTAATATCACTTTTTAATGTGGAATTACAGAATGAACTCATTATATCTCTGTATCACGGAAAAAACACTGGTGGCGACATCTCTGTGTTTATTATCTAACAACTTTTAGACCGATCCAACCCTACTTTTTCCCAATTAAATTATTTTGGAATTTCATATTTCGCTCTCGATTTTATCCTTCAACATTCGTACATCGCTCCATGAAAAAGTCTGAAAATAGTTTACTTTGACCTAGGAAGGATAAAATGGGGTTCCCGGTATAGAAATATACCGGTATTTCTCGACAATATCGCAAGCTTTGACCTTTCAGCGAGGTATTTTGTGATTTGTGCAATTGATTTAGTGGATGTTTTAAGATTTGAAATTTTACATGTCTGTGAGTGGATGGCTTCGGTAAGCTCAAGGACGTAAAAACTTGTAACTGGGCAGTAAGAGCCATTTGGCTCAAGTCCAATTCTCTCGAAAGAGAGAATAAAAAGTATAGACGAAATATTTCGCTCTCGTGAAACCGTCAAACTCGCCTTCGGCTCGTGTGACAAAATTTTGACTTGAGCGGAATATGCCGTTTTCCGAACTTGTTACAGAATATACTATTTTTCTACAAACTTGCGAAAAGGATCAACTTTTCCAATGCATAACCGTACGGAAAGTTCCACTTTTTCGCGTGCGCTTCTAGAAAAAATATTGTTCTTATCTAGCACGCGTGGAAAGTGTCTTTTCTCTACTAGACTGCTGACCGAATTCCGCTGAGCGTCGCGTCGTTTGATCAACGGCAGTGGCGTGCCAAAAAGTAGCACTTTCCGCACTAGTTAGGTAAATACTGCCATGGAAAAGAAGTAAAACTTTTTTCCGTTTAAAAAAAATTGATTTTTCTACTAGCGTGAAGAAAGTTGATACTTTCTGCACTCATTTACTTTCCGCACTGTCAAACGCACTGTTATGCGTGCGGAAACTAGCAACTTTCCGCACGCTTGTAGAAAAAATATTTTGTCCCACACTTACTTGGAATTGAGACATTATACGCTCGAAAACAATGGACAAAGTAAGCTATATAGCTCAATATTGTTACACTAGTTAAAGTAAAACAATGAAAATATTGTACCACTAGTGGAACAATGAAAAAGAAGAAGACCATAATGGTTATTATTGTTGACAATTATTAAAAACAATAAATTACAGCTATTTTAACACACAGTTGATACATAAATTTATATGATTTTAAAGATTGTTCACACATTTTGAAATAAATTTCAATATTTAATTCCAAAAAAGTTATAATACAATGTTAGAAAACTTAACCTTTAATAAATAATTACCTAATTGTTCTGTTTTCACTATTAAATCATGGTTTTAATGAGTCGAGTGCATAATGTCTCTTTGTAGTTCAATTTTAAAGGCAAATAATCCCAAAACCATTTTTCCAAAAGTATTAATTTTAATTCAATTTTTTATTTAATTGTGGGACAAAATAATATGTGCTACAAAGTGCAATTAAATTTTATTTGATAAAAATACCAAGAAAGACTAAAATTCAGATAAGTTTGTTTCGTTAAAAAAAAATTATAAATTTATCTTAAAAAAAGATTTTAAAATAAAAATTTTAAAACAATTTAAAAAATTTAGGTCACTCTGATTAAAATTTCATAATAAATAATATCTTCTTGAATATATTTATATTTGTATATTAAAGATGAAAACAACAATAAATAAATGCTTTAATTATACTTACTGACGGTGCAGCTCCCCATATCTTTTGCATTTCCCATAATGGGAACAGGTTTTGGTCCTGGAACTGCATCTAAGGATTTGTATTTAGCGAGCAACCAATACCACCACAAAAATGGAGCCGCTACTAACACTAAAATAGTCAACAAAATGTATCCAATCATGTCTGGGAGTCGACTGATTCACTTAACATTAATTTTATTTAACTGATTGTGATGTCATTGTTTACAAGTGAAAATACTTAATAGGCTGCTTATCGGAATAAATTTTTTAATAATTTATTTAAATATACGCAGTACCAGGGACGTATTTACCTAAGGGCAAATGCTACCCAGAGGGGCAGCCGAAGGCTGCTGTCTTTGTTTTGGCGGGCATTTTTAATCATCTTCGTTGGTTACCCAGCTATTCTACATACAAAAATTTTTTGTTAAAAAAAACGCAAGTTTAAATCTTTCTGTTTAAATTTCCAAACTGACTGCGCATCTTATTGTGAAAACGCGCAGTAATTGCGCACAACTGTTGTACACATTGTGTTAACTTGTCATGCAAACTGTGTTGCCAATCTGTGTGGAATTCCAAAAAAAATGTAAAAATTGAATAGAGTGTATGTAATTTGTGTGGAAAATGTTCCACACATTCAGTCATTCCACACAAAATACACACACCACTTGCTTTTAATCATATCAAACAACCTTTCTCTTTTTAGTATTAATTTTTTAGTGTGACCTCGCATTTATGTTTTTATTCATTTTCGTATGTTAAAATTAAAATTTTAATTTCTTCTTCTTCTTCTTTGCTTTTTTTGGCTTTTTCCTTCCGGGATTTGGCCAGCTTAAACTTTTATCTATAAGTTGGGAGGGCGAGTCTAGGATTTCCTATAGCCGCTCACTTTTTCAATTTTCTATCACTTTCTAATGAAAAAGATGGTGATAAAAATTCTAAACAGGTACCTACAATGTAGGTACATTATTACCAATGTTTATAAACTAAATATTGTAATCGGGTACTGGAGCGGCCGATCATATTCGCCCGGGGAGCAAAATTCCTAAATGAACCGGATAATTTGTTAGCTTCCCTAGTAATGTCAAACTAAAACTGCAAGCAGATTCATATAAACGTAAGACCAGTTTTGTTAAGTTTGTGCGAAAAAAAACAAATGTTTCGCAAATTAAAAAAGCGGCAGGGTATTTTTGTGTGGATTGCATGGCTATTATTACTTTTTTAAGCTTTCAAAGCAATAAAAAATATCAGATTAAATATGTATGTATTAAAGAAAGAACAAAATGCTAACTAATATTTTATTATTGTTTACAGTGTTTAAACTAATGATCTTATTTGCATCTGTCAAATAGTTAACCTAACTTTTAACCAATTTTAAATGTTATTATAGTCACCTTCTCCAAATTTATAACCCGATTGGTTCAAATCACAGTAAATATTGAAATCGGCCAATCACTGATGCCTAACAACGTGAATAATGAGTTAATTATTCCCATTGTTAGGCAGGGAATTTATAATGTTTTCTCATTTTTATTCATTATTATTCACGAAAAAACGCAATATTATGCAATAGGAGTAGATAGAACTAATTATTTTGTGCTAATAATTTCAGATATCCAAAATTAAATTCGAATATCTTAAATTAATTGCAGATATCTGAATTTAATTTTCAGTGCTGCCAATGACCGTGTTTTCACGGCGTTTTAGACTAAATGTATGGCCACGGCTATATGGTACTGCCGAACATTTAAAAACACGGCTTTAAAATATTAAATTCATATTTCACCATTTCTGTCTAAAAATATTTAAATTTTAAATAAAAATGCTATTTAAAAATATCAAATTTATATTTCACCATTTCTGTTATAAAATATTAATTTTTAAATAAAAACACTATTTAGTTTTACTGAAGTTTATAATCTTCTCGAAGTGTACGACCAGGGTGTGTACGACCAAGACCTGACTGAGCCTATTTTTTTCTGCTTAGACAATTGGCAAACTCTGTACGAAGCCACGGGGATTTCCGGCTTTATTTTATTTTATTACAATTGTAAATTAAGTGCGTGAAATAAGGACTAAGTTTTATCCAGTTATTTTTTTTATTCCAATGAATGAATTTCAAATTTGACACGGCCATAGTTTGTAAAAACACGGCAAATTTAGATCATGCGCGCGGCTTTTAATTTCGACTCATTGGCAGCACTGAAAATTAAGTTTTTCAGATGGAACCATATGGTTCCATTAATATACTAATATTATTGCATTAATACATTAATATACTAATATTATTGCATTTTTACGTTAAATTCTAGAAATACTAAAATTTAATTATTTTTTTCAAAACTAGAATCTAGTTTGGGTTACCTTAAGTGAATTGATATTTTTTTAATTAACCCTTAATTTCGTTGGGTCATTTTTGACCCGCTGCTAGAGGTGCCGCGAGACACGAGACACGAGACGTCTCGTCTCGTCTCGAAGCCATTTTATCTCGTCTCGAGAGCATTTTGTCTCGAATTTCGAGACGAGACGAGACGAGATAAAATCCTTCGAGACAAGGCGAGACGAGACGAGACATCTCGAAATATTTTAATGACTTAATACGCTTTAAACGAATGATAATAACGGCATTTAAGTTTTAATAATTGTTTTTAACAGCATTATAGGGTATGAGCTGGTAATACGTGCATATAAATTGTTAAAATAAAACTTATAAAAAATATAAAACCTTTATTCAAAAACTGCATGGTGTTTTCGAGGACATACATACATACCTTATAGAGAATAAACAGTAAAAAAGAAACCAAATTAATGTATTTTATAATAAACAAAATAAATCAATAAACTCTAAACTGAAAATAAATATTAAATGTATCATTAACATTGTTAGTGCGAATATCACATTACAGGTAAAAAGTAATAGGTAACTAAAAGAAATCCTCAATCATTAAAAAATATTTAGGTATACCTAAATATTTTTTAATGATTAATATATTAATATATTACAGCATAGGGTAAATATAGGAATAGGTAAGTTTCACTAATCAAAGTTTAGCTTATCTTTTAACGTACAAGTGTACCATGAATTAAGACATAATAATGAACGAGCCGACTCAGCATTAAGTCGATTCCGAAGTTTAGTGACTACTAATCCAGCTTTTGAAAAAAGGCGTTCTAAAGGAACGCTTGTTGCGGTAATACTTAATAGGTCTCTTGCCATCTTTGAAATGTGTGGATAATTTACTTCTTTTCCACCATTCCAACAATATTTCCCCTTTTGATTCCAGTTTCGGATTGAGGAGTAGCCTTTTTGAATAAAAATTCAATATCCATGTCTTCATCTGAGACAGATTGTTCTTCAGTTTCTTGTATAGGTGCACTGAAAAAAATAAGCTGTTGAAACAACAAAAAAAATATTAATTCAACTCTTTATGCACTTTAAATACAAGCAATGGTTTTTGCACGTTTACTTAACCATCTAAAAATGTCAAATTGTATTGTTTAATTGAACAACAAATAACAGTCAAATGAACAAAATTAGGATATTTGTTCCAATCTGCTAATTTTGTTAATTTAACATTCTTAGAGTGTTAAGGCAACTTTATGAATGCAAATTTAACATTTTAAATTTTAAAATAACATTTACAATTTGTTAAATGAACAAATTTAATGTTGTGGATTAAACAGCAACTAAACGTTAATCTAATAGTTTTTTTAGGTAATCCCAACAATTTTAGTATTTGATTTAACCAATTCCAGCTATTAAATCAAAATAGGATAAAAACTTTAATTCAAACAATTAGTTCATGTAAGATCAATATTTTAAATTGTCAAATGAACAAATAAACTTTGACAAACTCTGACTATTGCTTTGACACCAAAATATAGATTAATCCAATAGGTTTTTTGTTGAAACAACATTTTCAAAAATGACATTTAGGCAAATGTTAACTCAACGAATATATTTTTTTCGGTGTGGAATTGGCCTAGTCGGTGCGTTGTTTACAATAAATTGTTTCAAATTTTTGGTAAAAGGTTTCCAATTTGTGACGTGGATCTATTAAGAGTGAGGCGAATAACTGCGTTATCATTTTAGTTTATCCCACTTTTTCGAGTAAGACATTTTTTATTGGATTTATCCGATAATTCAAAATTAAATTGAGATAAACCTAAAAACCAAAACAATTCGAGACAAACGAGACAAAACGAGACGAGACGAGATAAGGCCTTGTCTCGTCTTGTCTCGACCTTGTCTCGTCTCGTCTCGAAAAATGTTATCTCGAAATTTCGGGACGAGACGAGACAAGGCCTTATCTCAAAGTACTCTACCAAAGCGTACAAAGATTCCCCATTTAAAATACACGTAAACTTTGATTATTTTTTTAAATATCGATATCTCAGCCGCATTTTATGGTATTGGATTGTTTCAAAAAAGGATTCACTCGTAATCAAAAGTTCTACAAAAATGCTTTATGTGCCATAGCTGTAATCTGCACCTGTAGGATGGTATGGGTCACTAAATCTTATTTTAGTGAAAAATTGTCATATTTTTGAAGATATTTCAAACGTGACTGGATTGTTTAAAAAAATGTAAAGGACAAACTTGTAGAAAATTTAATTTTCTTTAAAAAAGGTTTTATCATTGACATTTTATGAAATTTTTAGGATTTTCGTACCAAACTTTTTATAAATGATTATTTTTAATTGTTTATTAGTACAATTTCATCTAATTACGTTTTTTCTATAGTCGGGTGATTAGAGAAATATTAATAACTAAAACAATCAAGCATAATTATAAATCCTAATTATAATTTATAGTCATTTGGCGAAGAAACAATGTAGTTTCAGTGTTCACTTCCCACCTGTAATTAACCGACTTACGCCAACAGCAAAATCATCTATTATTTACGGATATAAATGGTCCTGCTTGAATTATACCTATTCCTGCTCAATGTTGCCAGTAGTAGGACCAAATTCGAATTTTAAAATATACCATATTTTTCTGAAATGTAACTTTTATTTAAATCATGATTTAAATGCAATAAACAAAAATGTTCTTGGGTTTTTCGGTTTTCCCCCAAAATTAAATACAGCGCGGTGTTGCCAACTGACGAATATGAAAATAAAACGAATAAAGATATGCTATTTTTCTAACGCTATTGTAAGAAGGGAAGCGAAATAC